GAAATTGATAAATTTAAAAAAATTTAAATTTTTTTATCTTACTCAGACTCATGTCTTTTGCATAAAATCTGGCTGTGCAGTATTATGAAGTTTTAGTTTTTCTACATCAAGCTTCTGTCTTTTAATTTACGCTCTTTTTAGTACTGCTGAGATTCCTTCTTAATCTGCTAGAAGTTACTTTATTGTTTTAAGGAAGAGCAACATTTACGGATGGTGAGAATCAACGCTGCATTGTGTGTTCTCAGCCGTTTTTCAAACGAGGTATCACTTCTAGAAGATCACGAATCAATGGAATGTTTACACTTTGTTTGATAATAGATGGTTTTAGGCGACAACAGAAGACAGAAACTATTAGAGTCAATTTTTTTAGGGATTTTTTTATTTGAACTGCTTCACAAAGCTGCGTGCGATAAAAAAACTTCAAGAACGTTTCAATGTGTTTTTGGGATGCAAAGTATTAGAAAGTGAAAAAAAGGAGAATTTATTCAAGGCGTTTGTACTGTCCGCTAAAAATATAAAGGATACTGTTCGGGTAATGACTTATGCTTCATGCTGCAATTATCTATATAGTAAAGAAAGCTGTAGGTCAATTGCAGTAAGGGTCGTCTTTATTTTAAATTTTTTTTCATTAGGTACTGGAGTTTGCTGAACTTTTGACTATTCATCCTGAGCGTGCCTGTGTTATTGCCGTGAATTGTTGTGTTGACCAAAAAGAAAGTCTTCTGGCTATTTATTACGCAAAGTTAGCCAATTTTTTTACCCCTTCTTTTCTTCTCGCTTTTCACAGCGAACGTTTGACTATTTATTGCAGGAGTGGTCTACGTGGTTCCATAAAAGTCGGGAAAGAGTTGTTGGATGCTAGTATGCTATGTTACATGTTTGGACTTTGGAACCTGCACGATCTAGCCGTCAACAATTGTTTGGATGACGTAACTTATTGCATCTGTGTTTTGTTTTTTGCGATTTCCTGTTCTAAGAAAAAAAGTTTTATCTTTCGCTATTTGACACTTCTTGCCCGAAATTAAATTTTTTTTAGCTCCTTGTCTTGGCAGAAGCGCTTACAGATCTTACTCCTTTACTGGTTGAAGCAGTCGGTTTTAAAGTAGTTCTACATTATCCTCTACTGATTGTACGTTCTAGTTGATACTTTTTTTATTGAATCAGTATTCAGAAACACTCTAAACTGGTACTAAAAGTTAAGAAACAGTTTAGGTTGCTACATACATAAACTTGTTCCTACTTGTTCTCGAGCAGTGTAAAATTAGTGATGGCGAGAAAGTGACATCCGCGGGACGAGTAAGGTCTATCGTCATTGAGCAGAATACCGAGTGAGATAATGCGTTACAAGTTATGAGATAAATTTGCTCATCACTTTTTGACCTGAGCTTTTTTCAATTAAAGAAGTATTTTCTGATTTTTGGCTGTCTCCATTTTTGTTAACAATGTTTATAATGGTTTAGTGCCTGTTAATCTGTAGTAAAATTCTTGTTACGTTTGGTGCTTTCTGATAGCGATTAATATTCTTCATATCAATCAGTTTTCAATCCCTTATTGGAGTAGATTAGTTTAGGAAGAGTGAAATTTACGGGATGAACCATCGCCTCGGTATTTATCGCCCCAGTTCAGATGGCGCAATTTTTGAAAAAGGAGATGCTGTACGTGCAGTAGCCTTTGTCGCTCGCTCGGTTTTGGAGCAGGGGTCGAAATCGTTAGTTACTTAACTGCTGCTTTTTGCGGTAACAGCTGGCGAATCTTATTGTTTTGTTTTCATGATTTAATCCTTCTAGTGATTTTTTTCACTTTGAGTATTTACGGTCGTGTT